GGTGGTGTATAAATGTAATAAACAGCACCATCGTAATAAATAACAACCATAAAACAATCATAGAAACAAAATCATAATAAGAGCCCCCCCTTTAACAGGCCACAGATTGTTTAATGGATGAAGGCCTAGGTAAAAAGCTACTACTACTACTACTACTAATAATAATAATATTTTATTTATACCCCGAACTTCCCAGTTGAGAAAACCGGGCTCAGGGCGGCTAACAACAAATTTAAAACACTTAATTGATGCAACAAAAAACAGCATAAAATACAGTATAAAACGTGAATAACAATAAATTCAGAATTCAAAAATCAATTTAAGGGGAAAATAAACATTAGATGATCCCCAGGGCTAGCTGGTTAAATTAGTCATATTTGGACCAGCGAGACCAGGGGAGAATTAGCTGTTGGGGTCTCAGAGTGGGTAATCTTCATAAAAGCGGAGAGGGAGGGAAGCGAAGGGAAATAAAAGATCAGGCTAAGTTCAAGTTGAAAGCCAGGCGGAATAGCTCTGTCTTACAGCCCTGCGGAAAGAGGTTAAATCCTGCAGGGCCCTGGTCTCCTGGGACAGAGCATTCCACCAGGTCAGAGCCACCACTGAGAAGGCCCTGGCCCTGGTGGAGGATAATCTGACTTCCTTGGGGACCTCTAAACTATGGTTATTCATGGACCTTAAGGTCCTCTGCGGGGCAGACCAGGAGAGCGGTCCCGTAAATACGAGAGCCCTAAGCCACAGAGGGCTTTGAAGGTCAAGACCAGCACCTTAAACCTGACCCTGTACTCCACTGGGAGCCAGTGAACTGGTAAAGCACTGGGTGAATATGCTCCCGTGGCAGGGACCCTGTGAGGAGCCTCGCTGCAGCATTCTGCACCCGTTGGAGTTTCTGGGACAGTTTTTGCCTGGTGAGCCTCTCTGGGGAGAACATCCCACAAAGAGGGAGCCACCACAGAAAAGACCCGTTTTGCTTGTTGGTGATAAACACAAAATTTTCTTTATCAGACCTCCTCACAGCGCCTCTGTGTGGCATTCCCAATTTGCAAAGAAGGAAGAGGGAATGAGATTTGGCCAAAAGCCTTGAAGCTGAATCTTGGAACTGTGCCTCAGCATTAAAACTGGGCAACATGTTTCGGCTCTCTGGAATCCCACTACAACCCCTGCAGTTTATTTAGTAGGGTTTACCCCACAACATCTCAAAAAGACTTGGGGCGCATAATTTTTGAAAGAAGAATATGCTGGCAGGTCTGAAAGATGCCATAGGAGTTGATACTCTTCTCAGATGTTATTTCTGAAAAGAGCGGCAGAAGTTCCAGAAGAGGCTCACACCGTTTGTGTGCTTTAAAGATTTCGGCGCCCTGTCAGCTTTTCAGAACAAACTACCGCCAGCCATTTAAAACAGGACATGTGAACATTTAACAGGAGGATAACTCTCCTCCAAGCACAGACAAGGGGGACAAGGGAAACCTCCAGATTTTACATCCCACTAGGTGAGCCTAGGGTCGTGGGTGGTGCTGTGGCTTAAACCACAGAGCCTTGAGCTTGCCGATCAGAAGGTCGGCGGTTTGAATGCCCGCAATGGAGTGAACTCCCATTGCTCTGTCCTGGCTCCTGCCAACCTAGCAGTTCGAAAGCACACCAGTGCAAGTAGATAAATAGGTACCGCTCTGGCAGGAAGGTAAACGGTGTTTCCATGCGCTGCTCTGGTTCACCAGCTTAGTCATGCTGGCCACATGACCCAGAAGCTGTACGCCGGCTCCCTCGGCCAATAAAGCGAGATGAGCATCGCAACCCCAGAGTCAGCCACGACTGGACCTAATGGTCAGGGGTCCCTTTACCTTTAGGTGAGGCTGCGTTTGTGATATGTAGCTTGTTGATGCACTCATATTTATGGGCTGAGTGGAAGAGGAAGGGGTCACAGGTTAAAGGCTCCCAGCAGACCCTGTTCCCCCATCAGGTTTCTGGGGAGCCCCTGGCCCTTCAGATCTTCTGGGAAATCCTACAGCTCTGGCGCTTTCCTCGGTGCCCCCTCCTCTCCAAAGCCTTGACCCATCGCTTCGCAAGGGAGGAAGGAAGGAACTAATCCAGGAATCTTCGCATCCCGGAGAGGCATGGTCGCCTTTGATCTCCTTAACCAAGCCAGGCCAGTTGGCGGCTCTGCCAGAGCCACCCGGATAATCGCCAGCCCAGCAGCGCCCCCCTCCCAGACCCCGCCGGCTCCATTAACCCTCTCCTAACCAAAGCCCAGCCTTGCAACCAAGACCCACGAGGCTGCAAGGGAACCGTGCAGATGCCACTCAGACTGCGCGCTCCCACCCGATTTACAACAGGCAGCGGCGCTTCAGACATTCAGCGGCACATCACCACTCCGTCTAGCTCTGTGCATGCTCAGATGCAGTCCTGTCTCCACCTGTTACCAGCCGCTGGGAATCGCAAGTGGGGAGAGAGCAGCTGCTGCTGCTGCTGCTGCTGCTAGACTCAGGTCCTGCGACTGGTCACTGTGAGGGCCGGATGCTGGACCAGATGAGACCCGAGTGGCCTGATCCAGCTACAGCCAGGCTCCTCAGAAGCCACGGATCTGAGCTGCGGCCTCCGAAATTGGGGCGCGGGAGCGAGCCTGTCTCAAATGAAGCCTTGCCTCCTGCCACTTCGAGTTATGGAAGTCCAGATAAGAGTCTCGCATGCTGCCTCCTGCCGAAAGCACACACACACCTGTGCAGGTATTTGTGGGTGTTTGCATGGCCCGCATCTGGAATGGGGCGGGGGCTTCTGCTCTGGAATTGAGGCTTCGCTGCCGCCCCCAGGGCTGCCCCGTGGAAGCCCCGCTTGCAAACGCAGCCGCCCCCCCCCCAGCCTGCCCGGCTCTCCTCCCCAGCTGCCGACCTCCTAATCGGCAAACAGGATTATGCGTCTCTCTTCGCCTCCGCCGCAGATGCTTATTAGCTGCCTTAGCCTTGACACAGGCACACATAATCTCATTGGCGCGGCTGCAGCGGAGGAGATAAGGCAGGTTTCCCTGGCCTCGCTTGGCCCAGCCGGGGAGAACCCGGGCAGCCCCGCCCCCGCGAGAGGGGCACCGCCAGGGAGCCACGAGGGCGCTTGGCACGGCCGGGCAAGAGTCTTTGATGGAAGCGCATCGAAACCAGAAGCGGCGGGGGCCCCCCCTGCTGGCGGCAGAGGTGATGGCGCGTCCTCAGGGTTCAGAGACCTTCTCAGGAGGAGGGCGGGGGTCCTCCGGGGCTCTCTCAAGAGCCGGTGAAATGCCCCACACCATCCTGGGCCAAACCTTAAAAAGCAGAGACATCACCTTGCCGACAAAGGTCCGTATAGTTAAAGCCATGGTTTTCCAAGCAGCGATGTATGGAAGTGAGAGCTGGACCATCAAGAAGGCTGATCGCCGAAGAATTGATGCTTTTGAATTCTGGTGCTGGAGGAGACTCTTGAGAGTCTCATGGACTGCAAGAAGATCCAACCGATCCATTCTGAAGGAAATCAGCCCTGAGTGCTCACTGGAAGGACAGATCCTGAAGCTGAGGCTCCAAGACTTTGGCCACCTCCTGAGAAGAGAAGACTCCCTGGAAAAGACCCTGATGTTGGGCACAAGGAGAAGGGGACGACGGAGGACGAGATGGTGGGACAGTGTTCTCGAAGCTACCAACATGAGTTTGACCAAACTGCGGGAGGCAGTGGAAGACAGGAGGGCCTGGCGTGCTCTGGTCCAGGGGGTCACGAAGAGGCGGACACGACTAAACAACAACAACATTATCATCCTGGGCCATGCAACTTTGGAGGAGAACTCTTGGAGCAGAGGGCCGCGAGAGGAAGAGGGCGAGGGCGGCCAGGGGAAGGCCACAAGGTCTGCGCTTCGGCCACATGCAGCGGAGGGCATGCGTACAGCTTCTCCTTGCGAGGAAACCGCCAAGAGAAAACGTGCGGGGGCTCCGGAAAGTCATCGACGTCGAGCGGCAACAACGCTGCTGGCCGCTAGGTGGGAGTGGTGTCCTATGAAACTGCAGGGAAGAGCCAAGCCGGGAAGCGAGCAGGCGGGTTCGCACGACCCAGAGTCTCCGCGTGTTCGCTGGCCGGGAGCCGGATGATGCGCGCGCTTTTAGGGAGCCGAACCTTTTCTAGCGGGGAGATGCGGCGGAGCAAGAGCCCCTTTCCATAGCTGTCTCCCTTTTTTCAAGGGAAACTCCCTTATTCCGAATAGGATTCCTCGCAAGAAAAGGGAAAAGTTGACAGCTATGCCCCCTTCCCTTCCCGCTGCAGGCAAAGCGGGGATTGGGGCCGCGGAGGGGACAAAGTCCGGGCAACGAACTCCTTGCAGCCAGAAGCGCAGCCCAAGCGCTGCTTTGCCTGTGCGGCTGAAGAGAGAGCTGGGCCAGTACTCAGCTGTTAAGCGGGAGAGGGTTTAAAATATATTTTTCTTTCCTGCACCCACCATGCACCCTCTTCCCACGACCCAAGCAGGCCAGGTGTTTTCATCTCTCCATCTGCTCCTTTAACACACTCACTTCTTCCGTGCCAGCTTTTAAATGCCTGCTGAGAACTTTGCTGTTTTCTGTTTTTATATTGTTGTATATTGCTATATTGTTGTAAACCACTGTGACATATTTCTGTGATACGGCAATATATAAAAATGTAAACAAACAAACAAACAAATAACAGCTTTCCTCTCTATTCCTGGTTGTTGGTGGTGTAGTTGCTCTTATTTAAAATAGCAACCTTTTACGTCTCCCTCTTGGGGTACATTTGAGTCCCATACCAGATTGGTACAGAATTTTTCTGTCGCTGAAGGGTTAAGGCCAACCGTGTGAGAGACGTAAGAAGGGGCTGGTTCTTGCAGGATGTTTTCCTGTGAGGGGCCCTGAAATCTCCCGTTGACGTTGTGGTGGGCAGTATTTGGATTTCCAAATCACACCCACCCTGTCCTGGGCCTTTTTCAGAGCGTGTCTCTGCCCCATCGCACAAGGACCCCCTTCCAAGGCTGGCCTGATCTCATCCATCACAGCCAGGGTGCTTTCGCTTCCTTTGAACACCCTTAATCTGGGAGTAGCATCAGTCACGATGTCATCCTTGGCTCCAGCCAAAGGGCCTTGATAATCTGAAAGTTCAAGGGAACTTTCAAGGGAACAAAGGGAATTAACTCCACGTGTTCCATGGCCAGCAGCTTCCAAGCACAGGCACAGATAGCTCTTAAGTCCGGGAATTGTCCACTGCCTTGTATTCTGTGGGGTAGAAATAAGAAGGACTTGCAGTGAAGGTGGGTCCATGGCCTATTCTGGACAGGCCACACTCTCCTTGAAGGACAAGGTACGTGACTTGGGGGCAAGGGTGCCAACTTGAATAAAATATTGGGGAAGGGAGCAGGTAAGCCCTGCCTTGCATAATCACAAGACATGACACGCACAAACACTATTTAAATGGCAGTGCCCATCAACTTTGGGGGGCCTTGGACCTCTCAAATATTTTATTGGGCAGGCCGAAGGAACCTTAGCCCTTAAAGAGTTGCTCCCTGCCCCATGCTTGGGGGTATTCCTAGATCCAGTGTTGTCCCAGGTGGCATCAGGTGCATGGAGTGCCTTCTCCCAGTCCCAGCCGGTTGGCCAGCTCCAAATGGGTCGGGAGAGCCAAGCTACACCCTGCCCTGGCAGCCTCCTAAATAGATTACTCTAATGCGCTCTGCAAGGGGCTGCCCTGGTGTCTTCAGGTACGGCTGGGAGAGACTCCTGGTCTGAAATCCAAGGAGCCCTTGCTGTCGTTCAGAGTAGGCAATGTTGGCCCAAGATGGACCAGTGTCCGGACTCAGTATGCAACAGCTTCTTCTGTTCCCTTAAAGACAGAGCTGGTGCAATCTGCTGCTTCCAGATCCCTGAGTGGGTCATTGAGGTGAGATCATATAACACCCATGTTGAAGGTGTGGACTTTAATACATATGGCCTAGAATGACACAAGACACTGATCCTTCAGGGAACATTCTGCATTGCCACCATCTTCTCAGTGCATTAAGATCTGCAGGAAAGACCCTCCTCAAGGAGAGCCAGTGTGGTGTGGTGGTTAAGAGCAGTGGACTCATAATCTGGTGAACCGGGTTCGATTCCCGGCTCCTCCACATGCAGCTGCTGGGTGACCTTGGGCTAGTCACACTTCTCTGAAGTCTCTCAGCCCCACTCACCTCACAGAGTGTTTGTTGTGGGGGAGGAAGGGAAAGGAGAATGTGAGCCGCTTTGAGACTCCTTAGGGAAGTGATAAAGCGGGCTATCAAATCCAAACTCTTCTTCTTCTTCAAGGTCCTTCCAATGGGTGAGGCTTGATGTATCATGACCAGGGCAGGGCCTTCTCTGCAGTGGCATCCCAGCTGTGGAACTCCCTGCCTTCCCAAATAAAATAGACATCATGGCCCTTTAGCTTCTGGCGATGATTTAAAACACGCTTGTTCACCCAGACTTGAAGATGCTGACTGCTGTAAACGCAACTGCATTTTTGTATTTTGCGGACACTCCTCCAGGTTGCACCATGGGCTGAAGCAAGGCAGGTGGACACCTGCCGAGGTGAGAGAGGTTATTTGGGGCTTCGTCACCAGGATTTGGAATTGCTTCCCAATGAAGTACAGTGGTACCTCGGGTTACATACGCTTCAGGTTACAGACACTTCAGGTTACAGACTCCGCTAACCCAGAAATAGTACCTCGGGTTAAGAACTTTGCTTCAGGATGAGAACAGAAATCGTGCTCCAGCGGTGCAGGAGGCCCCATTAGTTAAAATGGTGCTTCAGGTTAAGAACAGTTTCAGGTTAAGAACGGACCTCCGGAACGAATTAAGTACGTAACCAGAGGTACCACTGTATACTCATCCTGCACAGCTTTCTTTTGGGAATACTGTTCTATTTTGGTCATTTTATTATGCTGCTTTTAACTGTTTTTGCAGCATCTTGTATACTTTGGCCTGCACCATATTGCATTTTGCATTACTTGAGGCAATGGCAAAGGATCCAGGAGATGAGAGGGGAGACAAGGAGAAAGAGCCTCATTTCATCACACAAGTGCTTTCTCATTTGTTTAATGCATTTTATAAGGTAAAGGTAAAGGGACCCCTGACCGTTAGGTCCAGTCATGACCGACTCTGGGGTTGCGGCCCTCATCTCGTTTTACTGGCAGAGGGAGCCGGCGTATAGCTTCCGGGTCATGTGGCCAGCATGATTAAGCCGCTTCTGGAGAACCAGAGCAGCGCACGGAAACACCGTTTACCTTCCTGCCGGAGCAATACCTATTTATCTACTTGCACTTTGACGTCCTTTCAAACTGCTAGGTTGGCAGGAGCAGGGACAGAGCAACGGGAGCTCACTCCGTCGCGGGGATTTGAACTGCCGACCTTCTGATCGGCAAGTCCTAGGCTCTGTGGTTTAACCCACAGCGCCACCCGCAGCCCTAATGCATTTTATACCTGCCTCTTTTCCAAGGAGCTCAAGTTGGCGGACACGGACCTTTCCCCCTTCCTCATTTAATCTACAACAACAATGCTGGCAGGTAGATTAGGCTGAGAGGCGGTGACTGCATCACCCAGTGAGCTTCATGTCCGAGTGGGGATTTAAGCCCAGGTGTCTCCCAGGTCCTAGTCTAAAGCTGTAACCGCTAGACCACCACTGTCTCTCCAAAGGCTTCTCGTTGTGACTCACAGGCCCTCACCTGGCAGTCTCAGCGAGGAAACTGAAAGGGCTCCCTCCCCTCTCTCCACCACAACCCAGCTGTTGGCAAGAAGTGTGGCAGCTGGCTCACAACTGCTCTGCTAGGAATACATCAGAGGGAAACTGCCCCCAGTCCTTGCCCTCTCAGCCTTTGCCGATATTTATAGCACAGGGGGAAGTTCAGAATTAATTGTGGGCTTTGCACACACGTCACTAGGAGTCTTGCTGATGTCGGGATTTCAAACCACAAGGCCCCCCCTCCTCCTTTGTCTGGGTCCCTCCTGACACAGGCTCTTGTTGCTCCGAGAAGAAGCTGCCAGACTGATTCCCCATCGCACACCAGCACCTGCTGGCAGCTGGCTGAGTACCCCTCCAGAGTAAGAGGTCCACTCTGCCATCCATGAGAAGCACGCCAAAGGGGCATAAGAACATAAGGAGAGCCTGGTGGATGGGGCTAATGGCCCTTCTAGTCCAGCATCCTATTCTTATAGTTGTCACCAATATGCTGATGACACTCAGCTCTATCTGCTGATGGATGGCCACACTGACTCAGCCCCGGACACACTGACCAGATGCTTGGAAGCTGTGGCTGGATGGTTTTGTGGGAGCCAACTGAAACTAAATCCTTCGAAGACAGAGGTCCTATGGCTGGGTCAGGATGGCATGGGGATGAGGGAACAACTCCCTTCTCTTGCGGGGGCCCAATCAGTGCCATTGCCTTCCGTTAAGAGTTTGGATGTAATCCTTGACGCCTCCCTTTCCATGGAGGCGCAGGTTACAACAACAGCCAAGGCGACATTTTTCCACCTTCGCCGCATCAAGCAGTTGGTCCCTTACCTTTCCCGCCCCGACCTGGCCACAGTGATCCATGCGATGGTCATCTCCAGGCTTGACTACTGTAATTCACTCTATTATTATTATTATTATTATTATTATTATTATTATTATTACCGTATTATTATTACCTGCTGGATCGGGCCAATGGCCCTTCTAGTCCAGCATCCTATTCTTATAGTGGCCACCCAGATGCCTGGGGCAGGGAGTTCCACAGGTTAACTCTGCACTGTGTGAAGAAGGACTAGCTTGTGTCTGTCCTGAATCTCTCAACATTCAGCGTAAGGGGATGCCTGCAAGGTCTAGTGTTAGGAGGGGGGATGACTTTTCTCTGTCCACCCTCTGCAGGCCATGGATAATTTTATAAGCTTCTATCATCACAGCGGGTGGCGCTGTGGGTTAAACCACAGAGCCTAGGACTTGCCGATCAGAAGGTCAGCGGTTCGAATCCCTGCGACAGGGTGAGCTCCCATTGCTCGGTCCCAGCTCCTGCCAACCTAGCAGTTCGAAAGCACCTCAAAGTGCAAGTAGATAAATAGGTACCACTCCGGCGGGAAGGTGAACGGCGTTTCCGTGCGCTGCTCTGGTTTGCCCCTTCTTAAAGGGGATGAGTGACTCCTGAATGTTGCTCTAACCACTCTGCGATACAACCAGAGTGTACGGATGCCCAGCCAGTGGCCCTGCAAGGTTTCTACGCATTCTTGGACTGCCATCCGACACGACTTGAGTTGCAGGTGTGGCTCACCTGACGAATCCCAAGGCTGAGCTGCCATTGGCCTCCCCATCAGATCTGAATCGGCTCCCACTTCTTTTCCATCCCTTCCCCTGCTCAGTTTGCGCTTCAGAAAGCTGCACTTCTTCGGTTTTAAGATCGTGGACAATTAAAAGCCTTTGCAAGACCTGAGCTTGCCAGATCGGAGCCCAGAAAACTGCAATGCTTACTCAATGCAAAATGAGCAATTTATCTGCCTTGAGGAAATATTAATAATAATAATAATAATACAGTGGACGCTCAGGTTGCGAATGTGATCCGTGCGGGAAGCATGTTCGCAACCCACAGCACCTGCAACCTGCAGCGCCGCGTCTGTGCACATGTGGGTCATGATTCGGCGCTTCTGCGCATGCGCAAGGCGCGATTTAGTGCTTCTGTGCATGCACAAGTGCCGAAACCCGGAAGTCACCTGTTCCGGTACTTCCGGATTTGGCGCGGTGCGCAACCCAAAATCACGCAACCCGAAGCGTCTGTAAACCGGGTTATGACTGTAGATTTATACCCCACCCATCTGGCTTGGGTTTCCCCAGCCACAACAGAATATTAAAAGCACAATAAAACGTCAAACATTAAAAGCTTCCCTAAACAAGTACAGGTTTTGCTGAGACTTCCTGGCAGTTAATGGATACAGACAGTGGACTTTTCAGGACCCAGGAGCTGAATGAATATGTTGGGCTGTGTGTGTTTGACAGCGGCAGTGTGGAGAGGGCCTTTCCTGGCTGCTCTCAACTTTCCCCTCTCTCGTTTTTAGAGGCAGCCACAGCAGTGGCTGAGCTATGGAGCGGATGCAGGGATGCTCGCAGCTCTGTAGTGCTCTGGTTGGCAGGGCCTGGCTGGGTCGAAGGCCTTTTTTAAAAAAAATAATAATAATAATTTTTATTAAATTTTCCTTTTACAAATTTGCCATCCCAAACAATATTCACTAATTTCAACTTTTTGGACTTCCACCAGCTTTCCCACCAATCACCCATATTTTCTATTTTTATGCATTCTCTAATTTTATATTGCCATTTGATATATCTTTCAAATCTACTTCTTTTTTACAATACATCTTTAACTTTCACAAAGCCTCTTTAAATCCCACTAGCGTTGTCTGTTCATCACATATACTTTTCAGATAATCTGTGAACTTTCCCCAGTCCTCGATGAACCTGTGATCCCTTTGGTCGAAGGTCTTTGAGGTCCCTTCTGCCTTGAGAATTCAGCGTTCCAGGTTGGTGCACAGGCAGCGAGTGCGGAGAGGGATGTGTCCCCGATGGAGATGTCATCATTTCTGACATGGCCGGGAGGAGGTGCGCTTGCATGGCGCTGTGTCCTTGGCCAGGGGAGGCCCTGGCAGGGTTATAAGGCCCCTCGCTCTCTTCCTCCTCGGGGGAGAGCACTTGGAGAGGAACCAGAAGACCAGGAGGTTGCTAGGGTGCTGCGAAGGCAGGGGAGGGGAGATGGGAGCCTGCGGTCAGATGAGCCCCCGGTCTGCTCCTTCTCGCGTCCTGCGCTCCTTCTGCTCAGGGCAGCCACGCCATTCTGTGGCGCCGGCCGTGGCCCCAAAGCCACCAATCTCCAGGGCGCTTCCCTTTGAGGCCATCCCCCGCAGCAGCCCCAACGCCTGGGTCAACCTGTACCAGTTTTGGAGGACCAACAGCTTCCCAAACTTCCACCACATCATGCAGAAGAACTTCCAGAACCTGGGGCCCATCTACAGGTGAGTTCCAAACCCGCTCTCAGGTGGACACTCCTATGCAGAAGCAATCCAGACGCGTCTTAGAGTTTTATTTAATCTAATTTTATCTATTTGATTTATATACAGTGGTGCCTTGGGTTGCAGACGCTTCAGGTTACAGACTCCGCTAACCCAGAAATATTACCTCGGGTTAAGAACTTTGCTTCAGGATGAGAACAGAAATCATGCGGCGGCAGGGGGAGGCCCCATTAGCTAAAGTGGTACCTCAGGTTAAGAACAGTTTCAGGTTAAGAACGGAGCTCCGGAACGAATTAAGTTCTTAACCCGAGGTACCACTGTACATGTCCTTCATCAAGAGATCTCAGGGCCATTTGCTAGATTAAAATGCAAGATAAAACCACAAATAAATAGTTAAACCAGAAGCAAGAAAACAATAACCTCGCATTTAGATCAAAGTGCCCTGTCATCTTAGCACAGCAAATCCACGTTCTTAAAAAAACAAACCCCAGACTTTTTGCAGAGGGAAGAACCACATTGGAAAGTGTGGGATGTGTGTGGAACACGCTTTCTTCTGGGGGACAGGTGCATAAACAGCCCGTTTCCGTCTTTTTCCAGGAACCAGGGCATGTTGGTTGGACTCTGTCCATGCCAAATCTTAGGGCTTTGGTGCCCAGAAAGTGTCTTGTGGATTTCACCCCGTGGGTTTCAGCCCATTTCAGACTCCAGTCCCATAACAAGGGCTGTTTACGGGCAACAGTATTTGTGCAAATTAACCAATGCAAATTTTTGAGGCAGAGTGTGGTAGTGAGCCGTTTAAAACTTGCATGAGCTTGCGTGGCTATGCATGGTTTGTGCTGAGAAGACTACAGCCCAGGGTCTCCGTCTGAGTCACCGCTCAGCCCCTAGACCTGATTTCAGCATCAGGCAGTATTAGACGGCCGCCTTAGTGTGGGTTTGTGCGGCAATAGGTCACTCACACATTAACAGCCCAATGGAGGTGGATTTATCCTCAATGGTCTTCCGCACGGGATCTTGCTCTGTCAGTCGCTCTGTGATGCTTCCTCAAATGCATTGCTTCCAAAGGGGGCACCCAACAGGCTTCCTTAAAAAGCTACCTTGCAAGAAGGTTGCTAAAAGGATTGGAGGCTGGGGCTGGCTGGGCTTCCCTAGGGAGGCAATTTCAGCAACTCAAATAAATTATCATATTTTTTGCTCTATAAGACTCACCTTTTCCCTCCTAAAAAGTAAGGGGAAATGTGTGTGCGTCTTATGGAGCGAATGCAGGCTGCGCAGCTATCCCAGAAGGCAGAACAGCAAGAGGGATTGCTGCTTTCGCTGCGCAGCGATCCCTCTTGCTGTTCTGGCTTCTGGGATTCAGAATATTTTTTTTCTTGTTTTCCTCCTCCAAAAACTTGGTGCGTCTTGTGGTCTGGTGCGTCTTATAGAGAGAAAAATACGGTAACCCCACAGCTGCCGAACGATGCAGACCCACCAGCTAGTACATTCTAGAAGCCAGTTAAAAACAACAACACCCTACTACCTGCATGTATGAATCAGCCCTCTGTTGAGGGCAGAGATTTCTGTTGAGGGCAGTGTGTATGTGTGTGTGTGTGTGTGAGAGAGAGAGGGGGGGGGGAGAGAGAGAGAGAGAGAGAGAGAGAGAGAGAGAGAGAGAGAGAACTTTTCTGTTTATTCTGCACTTCCGGAGCTGCACTCTGCTTCTGGGATTTGGCAGGGGCAGTCGGGGGGGGGGGTCCCATATCTCAAGGGCTTGACTCCGTCCCACTTGGCAGGGAGACGCTGGGCACCTACGACTCCGTCCACCTGCTCTTGCCCCGCGACGCTGCCGTTCTGTTCCAGACCGAGGGGATCTTCCCACGCCGAATGGGCATCAATTCGTGGATCGCCCATCGCACGCTGCGGAACCACAAATGCGGAGTCTTCCTCTTGTGAGTGAGGGAAGGGCGGGCTGCTGCTGCTGCTGCTGCTGGACGTGGCATCGGGAACTACTTTAGTGGCGTAACTTCTGCATTTCCCACACCCAGTGCCCCCCCCCCCGATGGTTGGGATGGCCTCATGCAGTGGGATAACTTCCCATTTTATTTATTTATGGGACCGTGTGGGTACATGGTTCCTCTTCCTCTCTTCATTTAATCTGCACAACGACCCTTTGAGGCAGTGACTGACCAAAGGCCACGCAGTGAGCTCCATGGCCGAGTTGTGATTCGAACCCAGGTCTCTCCAGGACTAGCCCAACACTCTAACCCAGCCTTTCTCAAACTTGGGTGCCCAAATGTTATTGGCCTACAACTCCCATCATCCCTAGCTGCCAGGACTAGTGGTCAGGGATGATGGGAGCTGCAGTCTAACAACACCTGGGGACTCAAGTTTGATAAAAGGCTGCTCTAACCACTACACCGCACTGGGTCTCAGGAACGCTGGTTCTCATCCCTTGTCAGAATGACTTCAAAGCATTCTTAGCTCAGTTGATGAAGCATGAGACTCTTAATCTCAGAGTTGTGGATGTGAGTCTCGCTTTCGGTGAAAGATTCCTGCATTGCAGTCATAGCTGTCAACTTTTTCTTGCGAGGAAACCTATTCGGAATAAGGGAATTTCCCTTAAAATAGGGAAACTGACAGCTATGATTGCAGAGGGTTGGACTAGATGACATTCGTGGTCGGTCCTTTCTGTGGCTCTGCGATTCTCCCAGTCCCTGCTGCTGTAACGCACCAGAGCCAATATGGTTTTGAAATTAGACCCGTCTGCCTCCTCTTGAATCTCAGCTCCTCTGGTTGAAAGTGGCCTCCACAGAACAACCCAAGTGCTCTTCTGGTGTTACTGGACAGCAGCACCCTTCATGGCTGACCACTGGCCATGCTGCCTGAGGCTGATGGGAACTGGAGTCTAGAGGACCTCAGGTACCCTCCGAATATGTGGAGGCAATGCTGAGCTCCGAGGCAGGAATGGGAAGGCGGGAGGAGCACTGCCTTCTACTGAGTCAGACCAGTGGCTGCACTGGTTGCATGGTGAGTTCCTGCCCATCCCCAGTGGAAATAATGACACAATTATGAAGGTTAATGGGCTAAATAAGGCCACAACTTTATTGGTTACAGGTGATGAGCGGTATTGGCTTAGGCACTGGTCCTAACCGACTATATCTGGCTTCAGCCCATCCACCTGAAGTCCAGGAAGGGTTATCCACCAGTAGGGGGAGTCCTGCTGATGCACATCAACTAGGAACTCCCCCAGGGTCACCAATAGGGGGCGTGGCTTAGGCCCTCACCTCCCCAGGCTTCGGACAGGGCCACGCCCCCCGGAATCCTTTACCGGACTACCCTTCAATATGTGGGGCAGGTGATGGCCATACCTCCCCTCTTCCATCAACAGAGCAATACCAATGCCTAATCGCCAATACCCAGAAAGTTGTGACGATTTGCTACGAGGTGGGCGAAAACCAAGTGGCTGGTGCCAGTTTGCCAAGTGGAAAAATTCCTACCAGGCCCCTCAATGGCGACCAACTGAGGTCCATAGCAAGGTCAAGGAACGAAAACTTTATAGGGTGGGAGGGTGGGAAGCAGGAACAGCTGGCAGGCAGAAAAGAGGGAGATCCCCAGCCTTGTCCTGCCTTAAATAGGGCAGGCCACGCCCCCAGAGCCAGCTGATTGGCCGGCCAGGGGGTGATGCGGCCGGAAATCCCCCCAATCGCACAACCCCACCTCCTCCATAGGGCGGAAGTAGCTTTGGCAGCAGTGGATCTCCAGGATTTCAGAGCAGGATCCTCTCCCAGCCCTTCTTGTAGATGCGGCCAGGACTCGAACCTGGGACCTTCTGCATGCAAGGAAGATGCTCTGCCACTGAGCTACCTCTGAGTGATGGGAGGGTGGTAACTGGGGTGCCAGGCCCAGGAGGGAAGGTAGGGCAAGCGAGGATCAGCGGTGGGGGATGGAGTCCCTGCACAGGAAGCCAAGCCAAGCACTCCAGGCGCAGAGTCTCCTACCTCACTTTGGGGCCTTCTTCCCACGCAGAAACGGGGAGGACTGGCGCTCAGACCGGCTCATCCTCAACAAAGAGGTGATCAGCCCCGTGGGCACCCGGAAGTTCCTGCCCTTCCTCAACACGGTGGCCGAGGACTTTGCTGAGTCCATACATCGGCTGATCAGGAAGAATGCACGGCGCTCGCTCACGGTTGACCTCTACCACGACCTCTTCCGCTTCACCCTGGAAGGTACGGGCATTTTGCGGCGGGGGGGGGGGTGTTATTCTCTCTCCTCTTCTTACTTGTGTAAGAATGCCAATACCTATTTCAGCAGAGTTGAAAAATCACCACCCACCTGCAACTTATCTCTAGAAGCCTGCACTGGCTCCCGGTGGAGTCCAGGGTCAGGTTTAAGGTGCTGGTTTTGACCTTTAAAGCCCTATACGGCCTAGGACCCTTGTACCTATGGGACTGCCTCTCCTGGTATGCCCCGTGGAGGACCTTAAGTTCCACAAATGACAACACTTTGGAGGTCCCAAGTCGCAAGGTGGTTAGACTGGTCTCAACTAGGGCCAGGGCCTTTTCAGTACTGGCCCCGACTTTGTGGAGCACTGTCACAAGAGACCAGGGCACTGCGGGACTTGACATCTTTCCGCAGGGCCTGCAAGACGGAGCTGTTCCACCTGGCCTTTGGTTTGACCCTTATGTTTTCCCTCTCCTTATGGTTTTGATCCATGGGCTACTTTTAAACCTGTATTTTAAATTGCCCCCCCCCCATTATATTTTTATTGTAATTTTACTGGTGTTAGCCTCCCTGAGCCTGGCTCTGGCTGGGGAGGGTGGGGTATAAATAAAAATTATTATTATTATTATTATTTATTTAGGACAAGGTTGCATAACCTTCTAGAATAAATACGATATCCAAGGTTGCTTTAGGCAGATTTGGATTTGTTGTTTAGTCGTTTAGTCATGTCCGACTCTTCGTGACCCCCTGGACCAGAGCATGCCAGGCACTTCTGTCTTCAGATTTGGGTTACTTTTATCCCATTTAAGTTTTCCTCTTAACAAAGACTGTTTAGGTAAACAAGAAAAATACAAGCTTTATAGTTTGCTCACTTTTAAAGTCTTGCCAGGTTTCAATATATTCAGCGATGAAAATCAGGCAGCCAATAATCCTGAAAAGTTACAAAAACCCATGGTCCGGTTCAACTAGTATTCACGAGTGTTGCTGCCCTTGGCAAATCCTGGCCATCGTGGCTCAAAGCCATTGATCGCCATCTCCTCCATGAATTTTTTTAGCCCTCTTTTAAAGTCATCCAGGTGGTTGGCCATTACTGCCTCTTGTGGGAGAGAGTTCCGCAGGAATATTCCCCTGGAATATTGCCTAGGATTCGAAACTTTGTGGAGGAGGACGCTCCTTCCTTCCTTCCTTCCTTCCTTCCTTCCTTCCTTCCTTCCTTCCTTTGGGATGAGAGAGTGCATCTGGAAAGCCCCCACTCCCTCTCCTGTGACCTCTAACCTCCAATCTTCCTCCAATCCCTGCAGCCAGCAGCTACGCCTTGTATGGGCAGCGCCTGGGCCTCCTGGACGAGAATCCCAATCCGGAGTCCCAGCACTTCATCGACACCGTGGAGACGATGCTGCGCACCACGTTGCCCCTCCTCTTCCTGCCGCCCGGGGTCATGCGCTGGGTGAACAACAAGCTCTGGCGAGATCACATGGAGGCCTGGGACGCCATCTTTAAGCACGGTGAGCCCCAGATCCCTCATCGGGGGGAGAGGACCATGGGGCAGTGGCAAAGGAGCGGCTGAGCTGCATGGCTTGGTTTGAGTGGGTGGCAGGGCAAGCAGCGCTCCATTCACCTTTGAGCTGGAATTAAGCATGCAGGGAGCATGCGCTGTCTGGAGCAGGAATGTGACACAGTCCCTGCTTCATGGTCCTGGGCCTGCATGAGTTGACCTTAGATGGACCAGTCGAGGGCTGGCAGTGGGCACTGGACAAGGGGCACTTGGTGGCAATGGAGACAGAGAGGCTAGCTGCAGAGGCTGCAGTTGCTGGAGATAACCAGAGTACAGTCATACCTCATGTTACGTTTGCTTCAGGTTGCGCGTTTTCAGGTTGCGTCCTGCGGCGACCCGGAAGTACTGGATACTTCCGGGTTTCGCCACTCACGCATGCGCAGACGCGCAAAATGACATCATGTGCATGCGCAGAAGCGGTGAATCGCAACTCGCGTGTGCGCAGGTGCGGGTTGCATTCTATTCAGGTTGCGAACGGGCCTCCCGTTTGCAACCAGAGGTACCACTGTATGTACCACCCTGGTAAGACAGTGCGCAGGCAGGTGGGGTCTCAGCTGGTGTACCAGATGGAGCTGGCAGACAGCCATCCTGGACACAGAATTGACCTGTGCCTCCATGGACAGCTGTGAGTCCAGAATGACCCTCAGATTATACACCTGGTCCTGCAGGAGCACAGTTACTCCACTTAGTACCAGGGATCTAACAGGCACAGTTTAATGGGCAGGAGGTTCCTGTCCTCCAAAGAAGCAGAAGGAGAGAAGGAAATAATAATAATAATAATAATAATAATAATAATAATAATATTTAATTTAATTATTTGTATCCCGCCCATCTGGCTGGGTTTCCCTAGCCACTCTGGGCGGCTTCCAACAAAGATTAAAAATACATTAAAATGTCACACATTAAAAACTTCCTAACAGGGCTGCCTTCAGATGTCTTCTGAATGTCAGGTAGTTGTTGTTCTCTTTGACATCTGGTGGGAGGGCGTTCCACAGGGAGGGAGCCACCACCAAGAAGGCCCTCTGCCTGGTTCCCTGTAACTTGGCTTCTTGCAGTGAGGGAACCGCCAGAAGGCCCTCGGCGCAGGACCTCAGTGTCCGGGCAGAACGATGGAGGTGGAGATGCTCCTTCAGGTGTTCTGAAACGAGGCCATTTAGGGCTTTAAAGGTCAACACCAACACTTTGAATTGTGCTCAGAAACATACTGGAAGCCAATGTAGGTCTTTTAGGACAGGTGTTATATGGTCTTGGCGGCTGCCTCCAGTCACCATTCTAGCTGCCACATTCTGAATTAGTTGTAGTTTCCGGGTCACCTTCAAAGGTAGCCCCACGCAGAGCGCATTGCAGTAGTCCAAGCGGGAGATAACTAAAGCATGCACCACTCTGGCGAGACAGTCCGCTGGCAGGTAGGGTCTCATCCTGCATACCAGATGGAGCTGGTAGACAGCTGCCCTGGACACAGAATTGACCTGCGCCTCCATGGACACCTGTGAGTCCAGAATGACTCCCAGGCTACGCACCTGGTCCTTCAGGGGCACAGTTACCCCATTCAGGACCAGGCAGTGGAGGCCTGAAGCTTGATCTTGTTAGCTTCCCTTAACTTCCAGGAGATCATGTGCTGCCAACACACTGGTGCCCATCTCTGGTGTGTGAGGAGGAGGCTCCTCACTGGTTGCTGGGAACCATCTCATTCCTCATTTTGGTACTCGTTCAGCAACAGCCATGGCCTTGGAGCTCCTGGGGTCCCAATGTGCTATGTTTGTCCTTGGGTGCCTTGGGGGGCCTGGGTTCAGTTTGTGCTCAGCCAACGCCACTTGCCTGGTTCCCATCTTTCGTACAGCCAGTCCAGAGAGTGGCGCTTCCTGTCTGCTTCCTCCCTCCCCCCCCCCCAGTCTCAGCGGTGCCCCTTTTGGAACCCACCATGGAGAAGGATGGGGACAAAACTTGGCTGGAGTCGGCCCTGCCTTCCATTGTCACCTGCTGTTGGGCTCCCTGCCTGCCACCCCTGGCCTGGATGTGGGCTTCTTTCTAAGGCTGATGAAGGAATGGGTTTCTGTGCAGTCAGTTTGAAACTGACCCAAAATCCCCATTTTTCCTCCTCCAAGGGAGCGTTTCTAAAATGCATTAACTTGAGCTTTTCAAGCTCAGGAAGTTTGAGCTTGAGTCAATGTATAAACAGAAAACCCAGCTGTATAAACAAGTGCTCAAAGCCCTCTCCCTTATCAGTCCGTGATGGCAATGAGTGGCCTTGCCAGTTCCAGTAGAGCAGGGATGGCACGTCTGGGTCTTATCTTACATCCTGACCACAAAGACCACAAAGACGCACAAACCTTGTCAAGTCTGACAAGAGACCCGGGAACGGCGCCAGGAGTTGGTGACCACCTGCCCCAAGATAAGAGTATAGGAACAGGAACAACCTTTTATGGGCAAGAGTGCCAGAACAGGAACAACTGTTTATGGTCATGGATGTCAACTTAAGTGTATAAGCTGACATGCTTGAACTCCTGGGAAAGGGGGGAGAGGGTGCCTGGAGGATATATATACTGCATGAAATTTCTCATTTCTTTGGACTTGCTGTGGACTGACCAAGCAAGTGCCTTCTGCTATCCGGAGAGCAGAATAAACTCTTTCTCTGAATCAACCTCGGTGTCATTTGACTTCCTTCCTCCCTCCCGGGAGCAACGCAGACCCCACCAGTCGGTAAAGTCTAATAAGGCTACACTGAGAGTGGGGCGCTTCTCACTGCGCCTGGACCTGATCCCCACCTCTCTCTCCTTGCTTCTGCAGCGGACAAGTGCATACAGAATATCTACCAGGAGTTTTGCCTGGGGCAGCCCCGCAAGTATTCCGGGATCATGGCCGAGTTGCTTCTGCAAGAGGAGATGCCCCTCGACTCCATCAAGGCCAACATGACGGAGCTCACGGCAGGCAGCGTGGACACGGTGGGTGCGCCCCACCCCATAAACACATCAGGAACATCAGACCAGGCCAAACCATGGGTGGTGCTTGAGCTTAGTCTTGGCCACGTTGACCGGCAGCAATGGGTCTCCTTGGTTTCAGATGGGACATATGGCCCAGCCTTCACTGGAGAGCCTGGGACCTCCTGCAAGGGGTCCTGTAAGGCCTCCCCTGCTTTGCTGGCTTATTCCCACCTGGCCAGCCCCCCACTGACTGCTTCCAGCTACGAAAACGGTTGCTGTGGAAGGTGCCAGAGACCACGTCACTGTTAGTCTGGAAAAGCAGAAGGCTGAGACCATTAAACTGGCTTCAGTGGGTTTTGTCAATGTGTCCTTCTGATGATGATGATGATGATGATGATGATGATTTATATACCGCCCTATACCCAGAGGTCCATATAGTTAAAGCCATGGTTTTCCCAGTAGTGATGTATGGAAGTGAGAGCTGGACCATAAAGAAGGCTGATCGCTGAAGAATGGATGCTTTTGAATTCTGGTGCTGGAGGAGACTCTTGAGAGTCCCATGGACTGCAAGAAGATCAAACCTCTCCATTCTGAAGGAAATCAGCCCTGAGTGCTCACTGGAAGGACAGACCGTGAAGCTGAGGCTCCAAGACTTTGGCCATCTCATGAGAAGAGAAGACTCCCTGGAGAAGACACTGATGCTGGGAAAGATGGAGGGCACAAGGAGAAGGGGGCGACAGAGGACGAGATGGTGGGACAGTGTTCTCGAAGCTACCAGCATGAGTTTGACCAAACTGCGGGAGGCAGTGGAAGACAGGAGGGCCTGGCGTGCTCTGGTCCATGGGGTCACAAAGAGTCGGACACGACTAAACGACTAAACAACAATACCCAGAGGTCTCAAGGCGGTTCACAGAAAAGATCAACATAAAAATGAATGATAGTATTATAATATATAAAACAGGTATGAGGAAGAAAATAATTTAATGTGGAGTGTATGAAGACTCGGAGATTCAATTGGATCAACATGGAAATTACATTACTGAAGAGATATTATGCTTTATACATTGAAAGCAGCTCATCTCTACCAATTACAATTACCAGTGACATTTCATGTGGTTTTCATCCATCTCTTCATAACAATGAGTGTAGCGGCAGCATTTACACTTTGGAAGGCCACAATCCTTATTACATATTCCTAGTTGTAACCTCCACGGAACACAATGGCCAGAATTGGATTATTTGCATGTTATCTTCCTGAAATATGAATGAGACTTCTGGACACATATGCAACCTACTCTTCTCTTTGTGCAAGACAACAAATTAGGAAGCTTTCAGTTAACTATGGTTTCCTATTTTGCTAAAGTAGGGCTTGCCTTTGAAGACAGTTCAGAAATGGCAGTGGGCTCAGAATCTGGCAACCAAATTGCTGACCAGACAGTCTGAATATGTAACACCAGTTCTAGCACAACTGCATGTTTGAGTTGTTTAGTCGTTTAGTTGTGTCCTCCTCTTTCGTGACCCCTGGACCAGAGCACGCCAGGCCCTCCTGTCTTCCACCTCCTCTTCATCCACTAGTTCTCCCTCCCACATGAGGCAGGGGTAGCCACAAACCTTGTTTGTTGTTGTTTAGTCGTTTAGTTGTGTCCGCCTCTTCATGACTTCCTGGACCAGAGCACGCCAGGCCCTCCTGTCTTACACTGCCTCCCGCAGTTTGGTCAAACTCATGCTGGTAGCTTCGAGAACACTGTCCCACCATCTCGTCCTGTCGTCCCCTTCTCCTTGTGCCCTCCATCTTTCCCAACATCAGGGTCTTTTCCAGGGAGTCCAGGGTGGCCAAAGTCTTGGACCCTCAGCTTCAGGATCTGTCCTTCCAGTGAGCACTCAGGACCGATTTCCTTCAGAATGGAGAGGTTGGATCTTCTTGCAGTCCATGGGACTCTCAAGAGTCTCCTCCAGCACCAGAATTCAAAAGCATCCATTCTTTGGCGATCTGCCTTCTTTATGGTCCAGCTCTCGCTTCCATACATCACTACTGGGAAAACCATAGCTTTAACTATATGGAGCTTTGTTTGAGTTGCTTCCCATTATTTGGGGGAGGGGGGCACACAGTCCGAGGAGGTTCTTCCTCCCTTGACTCTCTCTCCCCCCCTTCCAGACAGCCATGCCCCTGCTCTTCACCCTCTTTGAGCTGGCCCGAAACCCACAAGTCCAGACTGCCCTTCGGGAAGAGGTCAAGGCTGCTGCGGTCTCAACCAGGGAGCTCTCCAAGGTGATGAATGACATGCCGTTGCTCAAGGGAGCAATCAAGGAGACGCTGAGGTAAGGAGGGCAGGATGGGTGCCATGCCTGGTGAGGAAATGGGTCCCACAAGGTGGCTGTGGGGTGGGCAGGGTGGATGAAAACGACTAGCTTGGGATTGGACTGGGAAGCTCATGGAAGAGGAATTAGCAATGAGCTGCATGAAGAATGGCTTTCCTGAAACAACTTCTGGTGGTACTAATCTGGGATAGCTCAGTTGGTAGAACATGAGACTCTTAACCCCAGGGTTGTGGGTTCAAGTCCCATGTTGGCCAAAATATTCCTGCCTGAGACTGTGAATAAGGATGGATAATATTAGTTTTGAATTTGAAAAATAGCCGCAAATTCAGAGACATGAATGAGGACGATTAGACATCTGGAACATGGGAAGTCCCAATTTTTTAATAATTGGAATATATAATTGGTGTATTGTGGTTATTGTAATTTGGATTTGATTTAATTTGTCCTTAATTGGTAGATTGTTATTGAAAATGAATAATTTTTTAATTAAAAATATATATTCCTGCCTCACAGGGGGTTGGACTAGATGACCCTCGGGGTCCCTTCCAAGTCTACATTCTATGATGCTATTATTCTCTTCCTCCACTTTCTCTGAGAAGCCACAACGACATCCTTCTCTTGCAGGCTCTACCCTGTGGGGATTACAGTGCAGCGCTACCCGATGAGGGACGTGGTGCTTCAGAACTACTGTGTGCCAGCTGGGGTGAGTGTCCTTTGCAGACTCCCTTCGCCACCCACCAGCCAGGATCCCACGCCGATTCTTGTTGTTCTTGTCAGGAGCTCGTCCTACACTCAAGTAGGACCCTGGCAGAGACACAGGCCCGACTGGCATGTTCTCTTCCTCCTGGTCGATCGTTCGGGAGCTTCAAAAGCTTTCTTCAGCCCGAACATCACAGCGACCGATGCCAACAGACAGCGGCACACTTAGGAATCCACAGAGTTTGCGCAGTTCACGTAACAGACCTCAGCAACTCAGCATTTTGGCTAATCTACTTAATTTACGTCTAAACACACACGGAGCACTGCAACATGGCTCCCTCTCTCTCTAGCATCAGACAGCAAAGAGAGAAAGAACAAAGGACAATAGTCCCACTTCACGGAACACAGTAACACAAACATCCCATCTCCATCACTTCCCACTCTGTGGAATGAAAACATACACCATCATGTGATAGACAACAATCCCATGACCGCAGACACGGGGAATGAATCTTCAACAGTTCTATCCCCCATCAGAGATATTGTGATCAAGGCTGCCTTGGCCCAGACCATTCCTCTCCTTGCAGAAGGACCATCGGTCAGTGGCGCCATTTCTGGCTTCTACCAACTCAAAGCAGATTTGGGTGGCAGAGTGATGGGAAAGACCCTTCTCTGCCTGAGACCCTGACAAGTCAGTCAGAGTAGGCAAGAGAGGAGATGTGGAGCTGCGGCAGGGAGAAAGGGGAAATATAAAAGTTTTCCTCCCTCTCTCCTAACTCTAGAACTCACGGGCATCCCATGGAGCTGAATGCTGGGAGATTCAGGACGGACAAACGAAAGTCCTTCTGACAGTGCATAGTTATCCTTATGGCACTTCCTTCCACAGGAGGCGGGAGTGGCCCCCGTCCTGGATGGCTTTAAAAGAGGATTAGGCAAATTCATGGAGGAGAAGAGGGCTATTGTGTGGGAATGTTCAGGGATGCAGGAGAGGATATATTGTTTGATTATAGCCTTTCCAACTTGTGTTAACAAGTTCACAATTTAGCAGAGTCACATTCCCCCTTTTAAACTCGCAGTGGATGCGTTAGCTCAGGCTCACTAAAGCCTCAATAATAACTGTTCTGGTATTTCCCCCTTATTCCCTCATAAAAGATAAGACACAGCACAGTCTTCTATAAAAGTATAAAAAGGTTTACTCACACATCATTCTGTTCACAATTGGATCCCAGAAGGCAGACTTAGCTTAGAAAAGTAAGACAGTCCCTCTGTCCTCTCTTGGCTGGAGGCCAAGAGAGCATCTTTGGCTAAGCAGATGTTGCTTCTTCGATGCATGTAGTCAAAAGAGAGAGAGATGGCTGCCCTGCCCTGTGCTTTTGTTGTTACCTGCACAGGTGAGGCCACGCCCACCTCTAGTCACATGCAGAGGAAGTCTGTCCCAGCCCAGAAGGAAACAGGAAGTTGACCTGCTGGCTGGACAAACATTCCTCCCCATGTGTAAACATGTTCACTCTAGGAATGCTGTACCTGGCTGCTCTTGTGTTTCACATCCCACATATTGATGGCCACTGGCCCTGATGGCTGTGTTCTGCTCCCACAGTCAGAGGCAGCCATGCTTCTGAATTGCAGCTGATGGAAACCGCAGGAAGGGAGAGGGCTGCTCTTCTGCTCAGATCCTGCGTGTGGGCTTCCCATTGGGGCATCTGGCTGGCTGCTATGAGAACAGGATGCTGGGCTCAACGGGCCATTGGCCTGATCCTGCAGGCTCTTACGTTCTTAATGCCTGGTGCGTCCTTGCCTTCTTGGCTTCACAATGGGATCTTTCAGCCTTATGTCTGCCTGGTGGATTGGGTGAGAAGAAGTCCTTTTGATACACCCAGACAGGCAATCTGGATGTCCCTGAGAATGCACAGGGCAGCAGGGCTCCAAAAGATGCTCCAAAAGGGGATGAGGCGAACCAGCCTCCTTCAGAGATCCTCCTTCTCTGAGCTACCTGTCTACTCTCCCAAACCTGGACCTAGCTGTTGGTGGTGGGAAGGGTGATCATCTCCCCAAGATGAAGCTTCACGTTCTTAGTCCTGGCAACTGGGTGAAGAATTAGGGCAAAAAAAAAATTATATATATAAAAGGGATGCAGGTGGTGCTGTGGGTTAAACCACAGAACCTAGGGCTTGCCGATCAGAAGGTTGGCGGTTCGAATCCCCACAGTGGGGTGAGCTCCCGTTGCTCGGTCCCTGCTCCTGCCAACCTAGCAGTTTGAAAGCACGAAGTGCAAGTAGATAAATAGGTACCGCTCCGGCAGGAAGGTAAACGGTGTTTCCGTGCGCTGCTCTGGTTCGCCAGAAGCGGCTTAGTCATGCTGGCCACATGACCCGGAAGCTGTACACCGGCTCCTTTGGCCAATAAAGTGAGATGAGCGCCGCAACCCCAGAGCCAGTCACAACTGGACCTAATGGTCAGGGGTCCCTTTACCAGATCTGTGTGGAGTTTTGATCAATGATGGGCTGGGTGAAGTGACCACCTATCGGCCTGGAGCAACTATTGTTGGAGGGACTGAATGTCCCTGGTGAACGTACAAGTGAGCCACCACCTTTGGAAGCTCCAGAGCTTGATTTCAGCTGCCAAGGACGTTGCCCCGGAGCCTCCGCTCAAGACTGTGCTCCTTCCCTTGCAGACCTTGTGCCAGGTGGGGCTCTATGCCATGGGCCGGAGCCCGGAGGTCTTCAGGGACCCGGAGCGCTACGACCCCAGCCGCTGGACTGGCAAAGAGGACAACAGCTTCAAGGCGCTGGCCTTTGGCTTCGGGTCACGGCAGTGCATCGGGCGGCGCTTGGCCGAGGCAGAAATGACCCTCTTCCTCATGCATGTGAGTTGCAGGGTTGCAGGTCCAGGAGGTGGAAGCAATTCTCTGCCTAGTGTCTTGGGAGGCACCACAATGTGGAGATGCGCATATGACCCTTTGCTCAATGCCTTTGTACCCCTCTTGTGGAGTCCGTGTACATGGGTGTCGCCCAGTTACCCACAGGCCACTGACCCCGTCTGAAATATTGTGTTTTGGGGTGGCTCCCCCAAAGCCGATTTCACTCTGACTTCAAAACTGTTGCGTGGCAAATCCCCGGTGCCCACGGTGGAATGGTTTCCTGGGGGTGGCACCCCATGCCTGACATTGGGGGTGGGTAGGTGGGCATCTTGGAGGAGCATCCCACTTCCCACCCACCCACTGCAACCGTATCTATGGCTACACAGAAGTAATCCCCACTAGATTCACTGGGGCTTACTCCTTGGCACGGACCCAGCTGTTTTGTGACTGGCGCCCGCTGCGCTTGTTCAAAATGCACCCACGGGCTCAGAAAGGTTGGTGGTCAACAACCATACAAGAAATAAGTAAAATAACCAAGCAAGTATTAGAAATCACCCCAGAATTGACCTTACTAAGCATCTTCCAAGACAATAATGCCCACTTACACCACAAAGAGCTCATAACCCACCTGCTCTCAGCAGCCAGAAACACCATAACCAGACACTGGAGAGACCTGTCAGGAGTAAGCCTGGACCAGTGGTACCAAATAGTATGGGAAACAGCCTTATTAGAAAAACTAATAACTGACACAGGGAGAAATGGAAGAAGACGCCTTCGCCCCCGTATGGCTCCCCTTTATCACATACACAGCCCTACAAGACAATGACAAAAATCCACCAACAGCATACAAATCAATATGGCTAACCTGATCCAAAACACCCACCCACCCCACTCACACATGAAAACAAAGATCACCACAGCCAATCACAAGCAAACAACCACACCCTAGGCCAACCCCAACCTCTCTCACCACCAAAGGAAGACAAGCAAACAGCAAAGAACCTGCACAAGCAACGCTGACGCAAAACCCCACATATAGTAAGTAAAATAGAAACATCGCCACCCGACCCCCCATCTCTCTCCCCCCCACCTCTTTCCCCCTTTTCTTCCTAATTTCTCAACAAATGAAACTGATGTGTAAAAATGTTACATGGGGAAAAAATACGAGAGAGAGACATTGCAAACACTTTTGTAAATCAAGGAAATCTTTAATAAAAATAAGAAAGGTGGGTGGTTCCTGTTTTCAGGCAATGGTGAGGAGAGGAAGGGGGTCCCTTGCCACCGACTCAAGGAACACCCACCCCAGCATACCTGCAGTCTCACACCGGTTGTGCTTCTTGTTTCAGATTCTGCGCAACTTCAAGATCGATACCGTCTCCAAGGCAGACCTCAAGACTGTCTATGGCTTCATCCTCATGCCAGAGAAGCCCCCTCTGCTCACCTTCCGGCCCATCGACTAGGGCACCAGCCCCCTCAGCCCCTTTCTCCCCCTCTGGACCATGGAAGGGGCCCGTCACTTGGGGGCGCAGACATCCTGACACCCCTTCCTTTCTCTCTGGCCATCTTGCTGCCTTCCTTCCCTCCCCTTCGGGCTCCAACAGACATTCTTTCTGGCACCCCCCATGTGATTTTATCCCAACCGTACCCCAAGGCTGGTAGAAAATTGCAGGCTGCATTGAAACTCGGGAAGCTGGAGGAAGAAGCCAATAAGGGGTGACCACTAGCCCAGGCCAAGCCTTGGGAGAGGTTCTGTTCTTGTAACAGCAAAATACAGTGGATGCTCAGGTTGCGAATGTGATCCATGCGGGAGGCACGTTCGCAACCCGCAGCACCATGTCTGCGCACGCGCGGGTTGCAATTCGGCGCTTCTGCGCATGCACGACTGCTGAAACCCAGAAGTAACCCGTTCCGGTACTTCTGAGTTTCGGCAGGTCCGTAACCTGAAAAAATGGAACCTGAAGCGTCTGTAACCCGAGGTATGACTGCAATGGCTCAACCCATTGGGATGTTGAAACCAAACAAAATAATAAAATAAACCATTCCAGTAGCACCTTGGAGACCAATAATAAATAACAATAAATAATATTTTTTTATTTATATCCCGCCCTCCCCAGCCGAAGCCGGGCTCAGGGCAGCTAAAACAATAAAATAATACAACATTCTAAAATAATAATAATAATAATAATAATAATAATAATAATAATAATAATATCTTTATTGTCATTGCCCCCTCTCGGGGACAACGAAATTACTTCATCATTTCATTATAAAATTAATTCAAATCAAATTGACCAACTAAGTTAGTTATTGGTATGAGCTTTTGTGTGCATGCACACTTCTTCAGATACACACAAAAGCTCATACCAATAACTAACTTAGTTAGTCTCTAAGCTGCTACTGGAAGGAATTTTATTTTATTTTATTTATTTTGACTACGGCAGACCAACACGGCTACCTACCTGTAACTAGAACCATTGGGATGTGGTGCTCTTACACATTCCAAAGCAGCTTGGGTAGGAATGCAAGAAAAGCTCTGTGTTTCCCAAACTTGGGTTTCCAGGTGTTGTTGAACTACAACTCCCATCGTCCCTAGCTAGCAGGACCAGCCGTCGAGGATGATGGGGGTTGTAGTCCATAAAACAGCTGAAGACCCAAGTTTGGGGAGCCCTGACCTAGCTGGATCCTGTCCTCACAGTGGCCAGCAAGTTGTCTCTTCTGAGAAGACCACAGAAGAGGGAGCTGAGTGCAACGGAAGCCCTCTCTGCACGCGGGTAAATTCACAGAGGAGAGGGCAAGTGATGGCCGTGAGCCTCCATGGCTACGCTCTTCCTCTATGGTCAGAGGCAGAAATGCTTCCAGATCCCAGATGCCAGAAACTACAGGAGGGGCTTGCAGGCTTCCCACAGGCGACTGAGAAAACTGGGCACTCTTATGCTTTTATGTTCCAAGGAAGAGAGGGGCACAGGGATTGCTCATCAGAAACACAGGCCAACCAAAAAGTCAAAAGTATTTATTTTATAAAGCTTTCCTTTGCTTTCAGCAAAGTCTCTTCGAACACAACATGGTCTGGGTTTCCTTGTTCTCCCCTTCAAGGCAAGTCATGTGGCTCAGCAGGGGGGTCAGCGGGGGGACCGGGACTCCCACTTAATGTGCGCCTTTCTAGTCCAGAACTGTAAACTGGACATTCAACAGGGACAGGAGCGATCAGACCAGCACTTTGGCAGCGGGGGAGGCAGTCCCATCTGGGGTCTGCTGGCAGAGAAAGGCAGGATACAAATATAAAATAAATAAATGCACACACACTCGGTTTTGACTCACATCGTCTGGTTAATTTGGCAAAGGAGGGGGGGGGCTGCTGTGCCTGCTGCCGCCCCCCAGACGACGAAAAGGCATAGGGCAAGGCATGGCATTCCCTATACTGTGCACAAAATCTGACTCTACTTCAGCGCTGGTGCCCTCCTCTCCAGCCCAGGGCAGCAGGCTAGCTTAGGGCAGACAGCACACAGCTCTAGCTTCTTTCCACCCCTCAGAATCTGCCGCCAGAGGCAGCTGCCTCACTCTGCCTCATGGAACGGCCGGCCCTGTATGCAAGGAGGTGCGGTCAGATATCTTGTGCGTGAAAGTCAAGGCAGGCGGCCGGGAGCCCGAGGCGGAAAATGAGAGCTCTTGCAGAGTTCACAGGAGCCCTCATTGGACTCTCTTGAAATCCAGGCACGGAACGAAGGTGCCCACAGAGAACTCCATCTCAGAAGGCAAGCAAGAATTCAAAGCATATTCCAGGCAGTTTGGCAGCGGATCTCTCCCTCCGGTTCATTTTGGTTAAACGGCTGTGTGCCCGTGTCCCTCCACTCCCTAGTAAATAAACCATTTATAAGGGGACTCTTGGCTTTGCCTGGTTGTTCAGAGGCTCTGCAAACTCTCTCCTAGTGACACCTCCTGTGTGAGCCCATCCAGTTCCACCCTGTGTTGGGTCGGCTGAAAACACCGATAGTCTCACTGGTTAAAATTGCCATTGGGCTCTGCGTTGGTCAGAGTAAATATCCCTTTAGGTTTGGGATTTTTGCCTTGAGCCTGTATACATATACGATCAGAAGGTTGGTGGCAGCATCCAAGGTTTGAGGAACCCTCGCCTCAAGGCTCTCACGCTTTTCTCCATCTGGGGAGAGAGGGGACCCCAGAAATGCCGAGGTGACAGCAGGGCTTTGCAGACTTAGCAGGCACCAAACCCCAGAGCAGAGGCAACTATTGCTTCCATGCAATTCAGATATGAACAGGAGGCTGCCTCGTTCCACGTTAGACGCAGGTCCATCTATAGCTCAGTGGGCTGACAGCGGATCTCTGGAGTTTCAAACAGGGGATCTTTCCCAGGAACCCCACCCTTCCTGGAGAACGGCAGGGACTGAAACCAATCTGCATACAAGGCGGGCGCTCTAATCCTCTTCTCCGCCCTGGGTCATGTGCAATTTGACCTCTGCTATGCCAACTCAAGACGCCCGTCCCTGAATGTGTTGCCCGTGGCAATGCAGCTTTTGGGCAAGGAAGCCCGGAGCCTCCCTGTCACTGTTCAAAGAGAAGTCGTTATTGGCTAAGGTGGAGACCCCAGCCCTCATGCAGGGAAGGGGAACGGCAGTGGTGAGCCGAGAGGTCGAGCACCCGGCAGCCCCTTGGCAGCCTCCCCAGGTGCTGCAACACTCACGGCATCTCTGCAGGGACTCGGAGCTGTTAGCAAGTGCATGCAAGCTGGCATTCCACTCGCCCCTGGCTGGCGTTTTGGCTGCCCCTTGCCCTGCAGAGCATTCCAGGCAGCCAGGAGTCTTTGGATCAGGATCATAGAGTTGGGTGGCCTTTGAGTTGATCCCTTTGCTCAGGGCAGGGAACCCAGAGCTAGGGCGCCCCCAAGAGGCGGTCCTCCAGGTCCACTGGGCACGACGTCTTCTGCTCCAGGTCAGAAGAGCTGCAGGAGGAACTCGGGAGCCCACTCCAGGGCGGTCTGCGTGACGGCCAGGGCTGCGGCCCCCAGCGTGGCTGAGATGCCCCAAACCGCGGCCTTCACCAAAGGGCTGTGCTCGGCTGCAGGGAGGAGTTCACCCGCCTCCTCTGCCTTGCTGGTGGTTAAGTGTCGCTGCTGCTGCTGCTGGCGCAGGATGGCGTCTGGGCGCTGGCATGAAGCAGCCTGCTGGAAGGCTGAGAAAGTGCCAATGCTGATGCTGGGAGGGGTGGAAAAGAGAGGGGCAGAAAATGGGTCAGTTGGGGAAACAGACAAACCTCCTGGCTGTGGGATGCAATCCACTGTCTGGCCAGAGTAGTACATGCTCTAGTTATGGACTACTGCCATGTGCTCTATGTGGGGCTACCTTTGAAGGTGACCCGGAAACTGCAATTAATCCAGAATGCGGCAGCTAGACTGGTGACTGGGAGCGGCCGCCGGGACCACATAACACCGGTTCTGAGAGATCTGCATTGGCTCCTAGTACGTTTCCGAGCACAATTCAAAGTGTTGGTGCTGACCTTGAAAGCCCTAAACGGCCTCAGTCCAGTATATCTGAAGGAGCATCCCCACCCCCATCGTTCTACCCGGACACTGAGGTCCAGCGCTGAGGGCCTTCTGGCGGTTCCCTCATTGCGAGAAGCCAAGTTACAGAGAACCAGGCAGAGGGCCTTCTCGGTGGTGGCACCCGCCTTGTTGAACGCCCTCCCACCAGATGTCAAAGAGAAAAACAACTACCAGACTTTTAGAAGACATCTGAAGGCAGCCCTGTTTAGGGAAGCTTTTAATGTTTAACAGACCACTGTATTTTAACACTTTGTTGGAAGCCGTCCAGGGTGGCTGGGGAGACCCAGCCAGATGGGCAGGGTATAAATAATAAATTATTATTATTATTATTATTATTATTATTATTATTATTATTATTATTATTATTATTACTGGGAGCAGTCAAGTACAACATTCCTTATTTTGCGATAAGAGAGTGGACATTGCAAGGGAATGTTTGGTCCTGCCAGTCAAAACTTCCTGTTCCTCCTCGCCTGGAGCATGGGACGAGTGCGTGGGCGTGACCTTACTTTTTGTTACTTATGAATAAGACTGTGGTGTCTTTATTCTTTTAAGAGGGATTAAAAAGGGGTCTTACCAGGAACATGTTAGGACACATTTCAATCTGGACAAGCCAGATTGAATTGCTTATTGTCTTAAGAAACTCACACAAGTTTGCAGCCAGTTTTCTGCTGTGTGAAAAGGGGGATGAAACTGCTAAGTAAAGGAACTTGCTAGCACAAGTTAGGAAGGATATTAATAACCAACATATCCTCTTCTGCCTGCCTTAACATTCCCACACTGGCAGGGTGCACTCTCTAACTTTTCACCTCTGACTTCCATGGGATTCTCTGTGCATTAAAAAACTTAGGAAGCTTTGGAGAAGACCAGCTGTCTCCTCTCTGCCTTCGTGGCTGTGTGGAGAAGGAGGGGAGGATGGACGTTGCAAAGACAAGCAGAACATGCATGCACACACCTCCTGGGGGAGGAACCCAGGATCACACTGCCCCTCCTCCAGAAGTCCTGGCCCCTCTCACCTCTTCTGGAGCTGAAGAGCTGCCTGCTTGGCCAGCTGGGCGTGGGGGAGACGCTGAAAGAGCTGGTGGGCACGGGCGATGAGGGTCTCGTAAGGCAGGTCCTGAGGGATCTGGGACAGGAGCTGGTGGATGCTGGGCATGTCGCAGTCGCAGGCCAGCACCTCCTCTTCGCGGAAGAGGACAATCTAGATGGGTGGGAGAGAAGGGAGAAAAAGGGGCTGGTGAGCCTAGGAAGTGTTAGGATATTCCATTCTACCTTAAGAACAGACATGTGGAAGTGTTGCATGTCACATGTCTGTTTACACTCCAGCACAGCTTGCTGGGAACTTCCCTTTTGCTTTTGCTGTCTTGTTTTGGATACGAAGGGGATCAGACATGTTTCCTTTTGTCCTGATGTATGCTGAATAAACTGCTTGTAAATAGGCTTACACAGCCTCTCCTGTCACTTCTGTTGCGAAGCATTTACAGTGGTGCCTCGCAAGACGAAATTAATCCGTTCTGCGAGTCTCTTCGTCTTGCGGTTTTTTCGTCTTGCGAAGCATGGCTATTAGCAGCTTAGCGGCTATTAACAGCTTAGCAGCTTAGCAGCTATTAATGGCTTATCAGCTTTAAGAAAAAGGAAAGAAACTCGCAAGCCCATAGGGAAATTTGTCTTGCGGAACGACTCAAAAAACGGAAAACCCTTTCGTCTAGCGAGTTTCTCATCTTGCGAGGCATTCGTCTTGCGGGGCACCACTGTACTCTGCTGAGTAATAATAATATAATAATAATTTATTATTTATACCCCACCCATCTTGCTGAGTTTCCCCAGCCACTCTGGGCGGCTTATAGAATCATAGAATCATAGAATCATAGAGTTGGAAGAGACCACAAGGGCCATGGAGTCCAACCCCCTGCCAAGCAGGAAACACCATCAGAGCACTCCTGACATATGGTTGTCAAGCCTCTGCTTAAAGACCTCCAAAGGAGGAGACTCCACCACACTCCTTGGCAGCAAATTCCACTGTCGAACAGCTCTTACTGTCAGGAAGTTCTTCCTAATGTTTAGGTGGAATCTTCTTTCTTGTAGTTTGGATCCATTGCTCCGTGTCCGCTTCTCTGGAGCAGCAGAAAACAACCTTTCTCCCTCCTCTATGTGACATCCTTTTATATATTTGAACATGGCTAACATATCACCCCTTAACCTCCTCTTCTCCAGGCTAAACATGCCCAGCTCCCTTAGCCGTTCCTCATAAGGCATCGTTTCCAGACCTTTGACCATTTTGGTTGCCCTCCAACTCGAGTGTTAAAAACAATACAGTGGTACCTCGGGTTACATACGCTTCAGGTTACATACACTTCAGGTTACAGACTCCGCTAACCCAGAAATAGTGCTTCGGGTTAAGAACTTTGCTTCAGGATGAGAACAGAAATTGTACTCTAGAGGCGCAGCAGGACTTAACCTGAGGTACCACTGTACAGCATTAAATATTAAAAACTTCCCTAAACAGGGCTGCCTTCAGATGTCTTTTAAAGATAAGATAGCTGCTTATTTCCTTGACATCTGATGGGAGGGCGGGCACCACTACCGAGAAGGCCCTCTGCCCGGTTCCCTGTAACCTCACTTCTCGCAATGGACTGCAAGAAGATCCAGCCTCTCCATTCTTAAGGAACTCAGCCCTGAGTGCTCACTGGAAGGACAGATACTGAAGCTGGGGCTCCAAGACTTTGGCCACCTCATGAGAAGAGAAGACTCCCTGGAAAATACCCTGATGTTGGGAAAGATGGAGGGCACAAGGAGAAGGGGACAACAGAGGACGAGATGGTGGGACAGTGTTCTCGAAGCTACCAGCATGAGTTTGACCAAACTGCGGGAGGCAGTGGAAGACAGGAGGGCCTGGCGTGCTCTGGTCCAGGGGGTCACGAAGAGGCGGACACGACTAAACGACTAAACAACAACAACAACAAACTCTCGGGATGCTAAATTGGAGTGCTAAACTCCACTATTGACCACAGCCATGAGGACACATCCCCACTCAATAGCCATAAGAAAGCTCTGAAAGCGGGTGGGGGCACTAAAGAGAAGCCCCCCAAAGAGGAAACCTCCCTCTGCTGCGGCATAGCACCCCCTGCCCATGGTGCCTCCAGCCTGACTTACCGCAGCGGCAAAGTAAACTGCCATGAGAGGGTGGGAGGCCAGGAAGAAATCATAGAGGCGAAGGATGTGCTGGAAGTTGGCGAGGACGTGGCCGTACCAGGTGATCAGCCAGCTCAGGGCGAAGATGGTCCCCACCTCAGCTCTGCAAGCGGAAGCAAAGAGAAGGAGTCACCACTAAGAAGCCCTTGGTCTCCAAATATAATGTTGTTTGATATCTGACGCAAAGAAAGAAAGAAATACAATAACTTGGAACTGCGTGTGAAAAACTTGTAGAAATAATAATGCAATGAGTCTAATCGGAAGCCAAATGTGTTTGTTTTGTTTTTCCTTTTCCTCCCCCCATCCCCCCTTCTTTTTCCTTTTTCTTTTTTGTGTGTCTCCTTTCTTGGTCTTTCTCTTTTCCATATGTTAAGAATGAGTTAAAGAGATAAAAGTGTAATATGAAAACTTCAATAAGTTAAAAGTGATGTTGTGTAATTTTCCCATGACTATTTATATATTGTTAAAATTGGTTAACTGTAATGAATTGGTGGAGCAACTACTGTAGTTTTCTTCCCTTTGTCATTGTTGAATTCTAAATAAAATATTATTCCAAAAGAAGAAGAAGAAGAAGAAGCCCTTGGTCTCCATCGTTTTGGAACCTGCCCTCACACCCAAACCCACCTAGTAAAGGTAAAGGGACCCCTGACCATTAGGTCCAGTCGTGGCCAACTCTGGGGTTGCGGCGCTCATCTCGCTTTATTGGCCGAGGGAGCCGGCGTACAGCTTCTGGGTCATGTGGCCAGCATGACTAAGCCGCTTCTGGCGAACCAGAGCAGCGCACGGAAACGCCGTTTACCTTCCCGCCAGAGTGGTACCTATTTATCTACTTGCACTCTGACGTGCTTTCCAACTGCTAGGTTGGCAGGAGCAGGGACTGAGAAACGGGAGCTCACCCTGTCGCGGGGATTCGAACCGCAGACCCTCTGATCGGCAAGCCCTAGGCCCTGTGGTTTAACCCACAGCGCCACTACAGCTTTGCAAATGCCCCCCTTTTTTAAACTTCCAGCCTTCCCTGCTTATATCTGATTGCACAAACGCCCACCCACCCTGGGGCACGGGGTGGGGAGAAGGTACCTTTGCATGAAGTCATGGAGTCGAGGGCTCTCCTGCTGCAGAATAGGCATGAGGTAATTGAGTATATGCTTGGTGCTGTCCATAGTGGGGTCCATAAAGTCCCTAGAAAGCAAAAGTTGAGGAGGTGAAATCGGTCGTGATCAAATGGGCACAAGATATAGGTCATAACATACAATTGGGAAAAACTGTGGAAAACAGATTTAAAATTCACAGATTGCTCTCTTCTGAAAGAAAACTACATGAAAATGATGTATAGATGGTAAATAACACCAGTACAGATTGCAAAAATGTATAAAACTGGGTCAAACACATGTTGGAAATGTAAAGAAAAGGAAGGGACCTTTTATCATATGTGGTGGGAATGCAGAGAAATTTAAAAATTCTGGGAAATGATATATAATGAGCTGAAAAAGATGTTCAAAATAACATTTATTTAAAAAGTGGAGGCTTTTCTGTTAAGGATTGTAGGACAAGACCTGCCAAGGAAAATAAAGAATCTATTTATGTATTCAACAACAGCGGCAAAAGTCTTGATTGCACAAGGATGGAAGAATGAGGAAACCCCGACTAAAGAACAGCGGCAAGAGAAATTAATGAACTATGCAGAACTGGCGAAAGTGACATGCAAACTACGAGACAAGGACAACTGTGACTTTAAAGAAGAATGGGAAGCTTTTATAGATTATTTTAAAAGACAACAAAATGAATTGGACTCCTTGGCAGGTTTTGAATAAACATACACAAATTTATTGAGGCTTAATATAGCAGACAGATAATAGAAGGATGTATACAATTTTATAATAAGTTAAAATTGGTTGAGAAATCAGAGAGAGGAGCTGAGGGAAGTCTTAGGGGGGAGGGAGGGAGGGTCTGTTGGGGAGGTGGGAGGGGAAAAATGGGGGGGGGAATAATGAAGATGATTTGTTTGAATAATTTGTTATGTGAAAATTGTTAATAAAAATAACTTTTAAAAACAACAACATAAAGTCCCTAGAAAGAACATGGAAGCTGGGGAGGGCCATGTTCAGTGCTGCCACTTTCAACAAAAGGTGCGTTGTTTTCCTCCTCCTCCTCTACCATCACCACCACTTCTTCCCTGTGCCCAGTCCAGGTGATGTACCTGTGATGGCCTGGGAATCTGATTCAGAGGCTGAACCTGAAGAATCCCAGCCTGCACAGGACCAGCTGAGCCGGGGCTGGGGCTTGAGCCTGAAGGGTCCTCACCTGTGCTGGATCCTCAGGAGCAGACACCAGATGTATCCACTCTGGCTCCGGAGGTGATGGAGGACCCATTGCCTGCAGGTGAAGGTGAGGTTGCCTCTGGGTCCAGTAACCCTCCAGCCTCTCCTGAGCTGCAGAGGGTCAGGGCAGAGAGGCAGAGGGAACTAAGTTCTCTCAGGAGGAGTGCTCACCTCCAGGCCAGGAGGGGCGAGTCACCTGTGGGCTGGGACCGCCCTAGGCCTCAGAGGAGATAAAGGCCAGTCAGCCCAGTCCCAGGTTGCGGGAGCAACATTGCTGGAAACCTGTTCCTGCCAGCACCGTGACCTGCTCTTCTGAAGTTCCTGACCACGCCCGGCACCTTGCCTTGGACCCCGCTTCACCCTTGACAGACAGCCTCCAGACCCTCGACCTAGGACCGGACTCCGACCACACCGCACGGTACCCCCCCCCCCGGGACCAGCGCAGTACCTGAGATGAAGCGTCGAGAGCCTCTCCAGCAGAGCAACGGCCATGCGCTCGCCTGAGACCAGCAGCAAGGTCACAGCAATGTCGTGGTAGCCCTGGTAGTAGTGCAAGTCAGGGTGGGTCTTCAGCACGTGCAGGATGATATCGGTCAACTGCTCCTGGAGGGCCTGCCGCTGCTCCTCCTGCATGCCTGCGCAGGGATCAGGGGTGGGTGGCAGGTGGCAAACACAGCCCATCCCCCTCCTTGTTGCCACGGGCATCTCCTCCAGGGCTGCACCCCTTCATCCCTCCCCTCCCTCCCCTGCAAGAGACCCGTCTCACCTGGAGGAAAGCGGCGAATGGAACGGCGCACATCCAAGAGGACCTGGTGGCAATCTTTGTGGTTCTGGCGCACTTCCCGACCTGGGGGAGAAGCGAGGAAACGGGCTGTGGGTGGGGTGGGCTCAGCAATGGGCGACCACCGCCAGGCAGGAGGCAGCATGCTCTACAAGACCTCTTGGCGCGTCGCGCCAACTTTCATCCCCTACCCCTGTTTTCAGCTGCGCCAGATGAAGAAGCGCCTTGGTTTGCCACAAAAGGGCTGGCAAAAAAACAAAAAAGCCAACAACCCACACATGCACACACACGCACAACGTCCCAGCATGCCCTGCACCAAGATGTCCTTAACACAGGTGCCCGGAGATTCTCAAAGACTCCACCCCATGATGGCAGTGGGCACACTGGTAAGGGCCCCTGAGAGTGGCCACGGGGACCATGAATCCTCTTCCTACCTCAGCTACTGCCAGGGCTGCAGTATTAGTAATAAAACAACAACAACAAACAACAACAATAAATAATAAGCAGAGTCAGGCAGAGAAGCAAAGTCTTTCTTCAATAAAACGGCATACAATTTGGCAGCCTTTCCTGACAGGATCTGCCCCTATGGAGCAGTTGCCAAGCCTGGAGGTCTTCTACCCGCTCTCCATCTCCATCTCCTTAGCCTTTCTACAGTAGGAAAGGCAGGCTCCCTCCATTCTTCTGCAGCCCCCTCCCTCCCTCCTCTGCCTCAGTTTCTGAGTCTGAACTGCTCTCTGCAGCCGGCTCTCCTGCCTCACAAAAGCCTGTTGCTCCTTCAACATCCAACCATTCCTCTCCCCACTCCTCCCTCCGATCTCTCCTTGGTCTCCCACCACCAATCCCCGGGCTCTGAGCCTTCCTCCTCTGAGGTTTCCCTTGGGGGTCCCCCGGCTGGTGCCTCCTACCACTCCTGGTCATCCAGCCAGTGCCTAACAGCTACCAAGAGGAGATCAGGTTTGGATGGCACATCCAAAAAGAACCGTGCAAGGAGTTCCACAGTGGGCGTTCACATAACTTCAACTGTGCCTGCAAACCAAGCCACGCTGGGTCTAGAAAAAAAAATGAAAGCCAAGCTATAGATTGTGTGAACAGGGCTTTTCCTTCATCCAATCCAGGGCATGTCAGTGTTAGTTTCTGTTTGCCACTGAGCAGCTGTTTTTGGAGTCACAGGACTCTGTTTACATTCCAGGGATTCCAGGCTATTGGAAGTCTCATGGGAGATGGGATGTGACGTTAGTGGGTTTCCTGTTTCCTTTGTTTCTTTGCTAAGTTGCTCTCTGCTTTCATAGAGAGGATGTCTTTTCTGTTCTGCATAGTTTAGAAATAAAACTCTTTACAATGTAGCCAAACCTCTTGTCTCTTTACTGTGCTGGAAACTCTGCTGAATGAAACGTGCCTTGGAGCCTTATCAAAGGCTCAGGTCGTTAAACACGTCGGGAGGCGATTCCGAAGGACTCGGGGGAAGAAAATGTGCTTTATCAGCTTGGCCAAGCGGAGATCCTGACAGTCAGAACACTGAATGACAAGATCTTCAGCACCTCTGATAACACTGTTTGGGAACAGGACATTATGCCCTAATTGACTGCTTCTGAAAACAGCCTGTTGTGTCCTTAGCATCTGCCACAGCAACGTGCCTTGACTCAGACTCTGCCCACCTCGTGCCTTCCAGGTGTTATGGACAACTCCCATCATCCATGCTGCCTGGGTGCGGGATGTAACACAAGCAGTCAAGTTCAACACTTCCTGTTTGCCCAGAGTGGACACACATGGGGGATGATACTCCAGCCAGGAGGACTTCCTGTCACAGCTGGTCTGGAGCATCCTTCCCCTGCGTGTGACCAGGTAGATTGGCGTGACCCCGGGAGACCCCATAAAAGGGCCAGTCACGCAGCCATCTCCCTCTTTGATACCATGATCTCTTGATGTCTTTTGCTGTCTGCTGGTTCTCAGCCAGCAGCACATGGGCTCATATGAACCCACTCTCATTTCTGTAACTACAAGCTAAAAGCTTGCCTTCAGGGAACCTACTGTGAACGGAATGGAAGTAAACTTCTTATCATTATTTCAAAGAGAAGACTGCTGTGTCTTTATTCTTTTTAAGAGGAAACAAAGGAGATGTACCAGGAACAAACCCAACCTGGACAGGCGAGATTGGATTGCTTGAGTGAAGAGATTCAAACAAATCTACCAACACACCCTGGCCAGCACTTTCTTGATCTCCTGCCCTCGGGCAGAAGCTATAGAAGCATGATTCGTGGCACCAACAGGGTAAACAACAGCTTCTATCTGGGGCAGTGGCGTAGCGTGGGTTGTCAGCACCCGGGGCAAGGCAAGTAATTTGCGCCCCCTAACCCGTGGATTTTAGCACTCGAGTCTCTTCCACTAGTGCGAGCGCACCCCCCCAGATGTTGCGCCCGGTGCGGCCGGCCCCCCCTGCACCCCCCACGCTACGCCACTGATCTGGGGGCTGTTAGGCTGCTGAATGAAAAGATAACAACAGGGCGAGTGACTTTCAGGTTTGGTGTCCGTGCGTCAGTAAACAAAGGGAATTAAGACAGAGAGCTGAGGGGGTGGTGCTTGTGTAATCTCACTGTATACAAGTTATACAAGTGACAATAAAGTATTTCAATATACTATGGAATGTACTCTGCTATTGACTCACTAGCGTGAGGGAGGGAGGATAATATTTATTCAGTATGTCCTCTCCTACTACCCACAACATTTCCACGCTGGGATTGCTGTGAAATGGCATCGTAGAAACTGGAACATGCTGGCCTACATAGGCAAATGCAGCCCACGGGGTTTGACCACGGCTGGGATTTCACAGCCTTGGGCATTCCAGAAAAAACCCGGGAAGTTTCTCAAGGCCTCGACGGGCACCCAGGCACTGCTGGGGAGCTGCACCCAGTCCAACGAGACACACCTCGCGCCAGCCTTTTCAAGAACTCTTCCTCCTCTCCTGTCCTGGATGCCATACCTGGCTTGGGCGGCAGGCTATACACGTTCACGCCCAGCAGTTTGGGCCACACCTTCCGGCGGATCTCGTCCGTGAGGAGCCCGCCCTGGCTCAGCGCCGCCGCCCGGAGGCTCTCGACATCGACGGGGTCTCTGGTCAGGGCCTGGTGGATCAGCAGTCGTTTCTGCTTCTTCTGCAACCCAGGCGGCTCTGCGGAAAGGAGGGGGAGAATGACAGGGGTCGGTGCCAAAGGCTGCGGCAAGGGCCTCTGCGCCCGCACCCTGGCCAGGCTGGATGGATCCTCTTTGGAGGGTGGCCTGGCGCTGTCCAAGGCAAACGCCAGGGAGGAGCAGCCTGTGCCAAGGACCATTGGGCAGAGCAATGCCCTCTAAGGACACGGCAGCCCAGCCTCCTCCTCTTGGCACAGGTGTTGGTGCTGACCTTGAAAGCCCTAACCGGCCTCGGTCCAGTATACCTGAAGGAGCGTCTCCACCCCCATCGTTCTGCCCAGATGCTGAGGTCCAGCTCTGAGGGCCTTCTGACGGTTCCCTCACTGCAAGAAGCCAAGCTACAGGGAAACAGGCAGAGGGCCTTCTTGGTGGTGGCGCCCGCCCTGTGGAACACCCTCCCTTCAGATGTGAAGGAAATAAGCAGCTATCTTATCTTTAAAAGACATCTGAAGGCAGCCCTGTTTAGGGAGGTTTTTAATATTTAATGCTGTATTGTTTTTAACACTCGATTGGGAGCCGCCCAGAGTGGCTGGGGAAACTCAGCCAGATGGGCTGGGTACAAATAATAAATTATTGTTATTATTATAATAAGAGAAGAGAAGACTCCCTGGAAAAGACCCTGATGTTGGGAAAGATGGAGGGCACAAGGAGAAGGGGACAACAGAGGACGAGATGGTGGGACAGTGTTCTTGAAGCTACCAGCATGAGGGAGGCAGTGGAAGACAGGAGGGCCTGGCATGCTCTGGTCCAGGGGGTTACGAAGAGTCGACACCACTAACCAACATTATTATTATTACTATTACTATTATTATAGGCCCTTCAAGGAAACAGGGGCAGAAGCAGCTTGGATGGTAAAATGCCATCAACAGGTCCTTTGAGGCTCCAATACTTTGGCCACCTCAAGAAAAGAAAAGACTCCCTGGAAAAGACCCTGATGCTGGGAAAGATGGAGGGCACAAGGAGAAGGGGACGATGGAGGACGAGAGGGTGGGACAGTGTTCTCGAAGCTACCGGCATGAGTTTGACCAAATTGCGGGAGGCAGTGGAAGACAGGAGGGCCTGGCGTGCTCTGGTCCAGGGGGTCATGAAGAGGCGGACACGACTAACCAACATTATTACTATTACTATTACTATTATTATAGGCCCTTCAAGGAAACAGGGGCAGAAGCAGCTTGGATTGCTGCTACTTGATGTTATGCAGCGTTGCTTAATTGTTTAAAAACCCACATGCCACCTGGTATATGCCAAGGAGAAAGCCCCTGTCCGCAGGGATTTTCCAAGGCCAAAAAGAAGCCCTTGAAACGCCTCTGGTCCCAGGAACCTGTTTGAACCCTAGAATGTGGGACGATTGGGTGAATATTTTTATCTGGGTTGACTCAGCAGTTGCTAGGAGATGCTTGGGAAGAGCAGCCCCGAGAGCCAGGGGAGGCCTGAGCTATTGTTGCTGCAGAACTAGGCTGAGATGAGATGCCAGGGTCTCTCCCTGGGCTCAGCTGAGAGACCTGAAACTTTTGGCTCCTCCCCTCCTTGAACCGTTTCCATTCCAGCTCGTCTTTACAAGAACTCTGCAACTAAGAACTAATTCATGGGGCTGCTTTTTTTCCTCCTCCCTACCAACGCCTTTTCCTTTCGTGTCGTGTCTTCAGCCGGCACTGTCTCATTACGGATCTTTGCAAGCTGTTCCTTTTTCAGGCCAAAAACTACATTTATTTATTAGATTTATTAGATTTATATGCCGCCCTTCATCATGAGATCTCAGGGTGGTTCACAGAATAAAAAACAGATGAATCTCAATGGTAAATGTGCGCAACACTTCTTAAAAATAGAAGTAGCACTTTTAAAAAAAGAAATGCAAGTTAGAAACCATGAAAACATACTTTGGCAGCTGCAGGAATGCTTTCAAATATGCCCAATTTAATTCAGGTAGAATGGATTATTTGGTGTCAGATTCAAGTGGGAGCCCAGATGAACCGCTAAATCTCCTGTTTTCTGCTCAGCAGAGGCTTCCCCATTCATCTCTGCCTGCTAGCATGAGCTCCGAGGCCTGAATGTCAAGACCATGACCCCCCCATGTGTTATGGGTGCCAAGGGACACCCCCTCCACTGCATCAAGGGGAAGAGGCCTCAGGGGCCTTGGGTGGCCACAGAAAGTCCTGGCTGCTGCTGCTGCTGCCAGCTCTGGCACCTTCTGCACAGAAGTCCAAATCTGGAATGAATCAGGGAGTGAGCAGCAGCCAAGCGAAAGAGCCAGTGTCGAGCGGGGGCTATAGCCAGAGTGCAGGACCAGAAGTGGGGAGAGCCAGGTTCAAATCCTGCGCACCTCTGAAAACCTGCTGGGAATCGCAGGCAGGAAGTTGTGGACATTCAAAGAAGCTGGGAGAAGGATAAAAGAAACCGCTTCACACAGCCGATAGACGGTGGAACTCCCTCCCACAGGAGCGAGTGAGGAAGGAGAGAAATTCCTGCCCAGTTCAAAGCTTCGAATCCTAGGCAATCTTCCAGGCATGGCAGAGCAGAGTTAAACTGTGGAACTCACTCCCACCGGAGGCAGTGATGCCACCAGCCTAGATGGCTTTAAAAGGGCGTTGGACACATTCATGAGGGAACAGAGGGCGATTGGTGGCTCCTAGCCAGGATGGCCACACTCGGCCTCTACAGTTGGAGGCAGCCATGAATCATAGTTGCTGGAAACCACAGGAGGCAAGAGAGCTCTTGTGCTCAAATTCTGCTCACAGGTTTCCCACAGGTCACTGTGAGGACAGGATGCTGGACCCCTAGTGGACACCCTCATCTTTCTTTTCTTAAATAAGACTCATCTTACTTTCTTAAAAAAGGTAAAGGGACCATTAGGTCCAGTCGTGACTGACTCTGGGGTTGCGGCGCTCATCTCGCTTTACTGGCTGAGGGATCCAGCGTTTGTCCGCAGTTTTTCTGGGTCATGTGGCCAGCATGACTAAGCCGCTTCTGGCGAACCAGAGCAGCGCACGGAAACACCGTTTACCTTCCCGCCGGAGTGGTACCTATTTATCTACTTGCACTCTGACGTGCTTTTGAACTGCTAGGTTGGCAGGAGCAGGGACCGAGCAACGGGAGCTCACTGTATCGCGGGGATTCGAACCGCCGACCTTCTGATCGGCAAGTCCTAGGCTCTGTGGTTTAATGCACAGCGCCACCCGCCTCCCTCTTACTTTCTTATCCTTACTTAATTAGGATGCTGACTAGGAGACCCTCAGCCTGTGATGGTCCCTAGCCTCCCTCAGAGAGTTGTTGTGAAGATTTGTGGCTGGGGAATAAGGAACATTGTGCCCTGACCTCCTAGGAGGAAAAGTGAGATGACAAAATAATGGGATCAGCAAAGATCTTGCCTTTGGGAGCAAGCATAACAGCCTAGAGCCCACCAACTGAGCTCTGCCTACTGAGCATGCAGGATTCTGGGCTTCTGAATATTTGCTAATGGCCACTTAAATCCCAATAGATTTCCCAAATAAAGGCCCCTGTGGGAGTGACTAGCCTCCCTCGGCTGAGGACTAGCCGCTTGTCATTCTGCTTATTGCATAACTCTAAGCCTCCTTCCTGGAGTCATCTGGGTCAAAGGATCCAGCGGTTGCAGCAGCAGAAGCACCCACGAGTGCTGACGGTGCACTGCAGGGCTGCATCCGCCGCCTGCATCCCTCTGCTGGGCACAACAGGGAACAACCGGGCAAGATGGAGCTCCAAGCCTGCTGTCGCATGGAGGGGGGGGGGTTAGAGGGGTCAGGCAGAACACCTGCTCCGCATGCAGAAGGCCCCCTGCTCCCAAGGCACCTCTCTCCAGGGAGGGCTGGGGAAGACTCTGCTGCCCAAGGTGGCCTAGATGCAAGCCGAGGGCCCGGCGCTCAGCAGAAGACAGCTTCCTACATTGCAGCGGGCTGGACTGGATGACCCTTGGGGGTCCCTTCCGGGCCGGATTTGTGTTTGATGAGGCCCTAAGCTACTGGAGGTAACGGGGCCCTTTATAGGTCCAGCTGTCCTTTGTCAACACTGTTTTTTGTGTTGAATATATGCTATGTGATAGGGACGCGGGTGGCACTGTGGGTTAAACCACAGAGCGTGGGGCTTGCCGATCAGAAGGTTGGTGGTTCAAATCCTCGCGACAGGGTGAGCTCCCGTTGCTCGGTCCCTGCTCCTGCCAACCTAGCAGTTCAAAAGCACGTCAAAGTGGAAGTAGATAAATAGGTACCGCTCCGGCGGGAAGGTAAACGGCGTTTCCATGCGCTGTTCTGGTTCGCCAGAAGCGGCTTAGTCATGCTGGCCACATGACCCAGAAGCTGTACGCCGGCTCCCTCGGCCAGTAAAGCGAGATGAGCGCTGCAACCCCAGAGTCACCTGCGACTAGACCTAATGTATACTAATTATATACTACAGTGGTACCTCAGGTTAAGTACTTAATTCGTTCCGGAGGTCCGTTCTTAACCTGAAACGGTTCTTAACCTGAAGCACCACTTTAACTAATGGGGACTCCTGTTGCCGCCGCGCCGCCACAGCACAATTTCTGTCCTCATCCTGAAGCAAAGTTCTTAACCTGAGGCACTATTTCTGGGTTAGCAGAGTCTGTAACCTGAAGCGTCTGTAACCCGAGGTACCACTGTATATGGTAATTGATGGACCTAATCCAAAGCCATTTGCCACTGTTACTGTATGTATGTTTTGTTTTATTTGGTTTTTTTTAATCTGATATTTTGGGAAGGTACATCCAGGGTCCCCCCCCTTTTAATTTTGGGGGCCGCCAAGAGCCCTAAGCTAGAGCTTGTTTCTGCCCTAGAGCCTCCCCCGGGC